CGAACACTTCGTCGACTTGGCTTTGTTGGCCTGATCTCTATTAACGAGAGCCGTTTCTCCTTAACAATCGCACATTCTCTCTTCAGGTCTCACCTCGATTCCAAGAAAGTTACGCCTAGCTACTGCCCCTGAGCTTTATATTTCACCCCTCTATTAGAATATACAAAAGGTGAGGAAGAAATGAGATGTATTCCAAGCGTTTGTAAATTTCTGGCTCACAAAAATCAGAATCCTGAAAGTCTTAAGTTTTGGCGTTGATCAATCCCGTCCGAGGGATGCGCCCCCGCACTCGACTTCCACTCAGGATCGTAGCGGCGTAATGAATGCGTATGTGGCCTATACAATGACTTGCGATGACCAGCCGATGTACAGGTCAGTACTTTTATCCTCCCAGACATGTCTGGTACCAATTAAGCGACGCCGGGGGAAGGAAGGCTTGGTTGGCGTAGGCGGATATCGATCCGGGATTTGAACCCGTGACTATGCATGTATGATAATGCGACACTTGCAACCACACCACCTTCGCCCCAAAACTAGAAGTTTGTGAAAAAAGTGTGCTTCCTGAGCAAGCACAGATTCATCCGGTGCCCCCAGAAGTTCTCTGCCGCTCACAACATGTGCTGCTGAAACATATAGAACAGCTGATCGAAAAGCAAACTCATTTATATTCTGGCAGTGCTCATTTGTATTCTGACAAGCTTAAGATACATCAGGATGGATGGAACTATGTTCATAAATATTGGCATATCCCACCATTCAATGAACCTATAAGAAGAGGATAAAATCATTTGGCGTTAATCAATCTCTTCTCGAAATGCGCCACGCATGCGACTTCCATCCAGAATCTCGGTGGCCGGTACAATGATTTGCTAAGGCCGTCTGATGTTTTTGTAAATCAGTCTTTTATCTTTCTAGACAAGCCTGGTTCCGATTATTCTGAGAATCGATCGCAGATCATGCGTGTGATAGTGGTCTGGTTGGCGCTGCATCACTTCCGTCCCTTCTGAATCAATAGTCATTGAAATGCCTCGCTGAGGTTGGGTACAGGGTGAGGGTGACGTCGAGCGTCGAAGCAAAAAACAACATCGAACTCTAAGTCATGAGGGGTAGTTTTGACCGTAATATCCGCCGAGATGGTCGCTTTAGATCAGAGCGTTGAGCGGCAAGCGTCAATCGTAGGCCGCGTTAGCATTCCCGCCGCCGACTAGTTTACCAGCTCTACACATCACAAAAGTGGTGAAAGGGTATGGTTAACGTCGCCTAAACATGCTGGGAAAGGCGGGTCAGAAATTCATCCTGGCTGATGCCTCAGCCCATAACTAACCCTAATTGTACGAGCTTATCGTCCTGCTTTTATCTACATGTCTACATGTGCACAGATCAACAAGTCAGTGCTTTTATCCTCCTAGACGAGTCTGGTACCAATTCACCGACCCCGGAGGGATGGAAGGTTTGGTTGGCCTAGGCTGGGGCATCGATTCGGGATTTGAACCCCTGACCGTGCGTGTAAGATAATGTGCCGCTTACCACTACACCACCTCCGCCCTAACACACAACGATTATTCTTCTTAAACAAGATACTTCAGAATCATCATCAAATCTGCCTTTAGAATGGTTTCCGTTTTTTGATTCTCTGTTTTTCAGTTACATGGTTCACAAAAATGTCTTAAAAAACAAAAATAACCCCAATTCATATGCTGTGGCAAATTTTGCATATTTCGATTGCACTTTTGCGTATTTCGTCTGCACTTTTAATAGAATGGCTATGCCGACGAACCAGTGAGTCCCGTGACGAGCAAAGAGGCAGAAAAAGAATCAGGTCATTAGGCAAAATAGATGAATAAATTACAAGGTGCAAAGCGATATCTTGACTCAACAAAAACAAGATGAATTCAAATTCAACTATTAAAGTACTGCCATACTTTCCGCTTACCCGCCACTTAATTTTAAGAATAGAAGCTAAAAATACACTTACCAATTTTTTATCTCTTCTTCCTCGCAAACGATCGTTCGTATGAAAACCCAAGAGCTTTTTTTTGAACAGCTGATATATAAGGAGAGGCTAGACGCAGCCGTCTGAGGTCAGCAGTATCTTAAAATGAATGCTTGAGGAACGACGATCGGAAGTTGAATCCGGAAGGAACGATAATCGGCCTCGAACGCTCACATGCTACACAAGCTAAAACTCAGTACGCGAACCGAAATCCTACAGTAATCCGACCGTCGGTCCTGGCTTGAAACGAGCGCCCGCGTCCCAACGCAGCCACCTACCACCGTGTCTTTGATCAGGGTTTCGATGCACCCTTTTTGTGATCGGTGGAGGATTTGTATATCCAAGAAGGCTAACGTCGCGGAACGAATTATCTTGTCATGAGAATTCTGCGTTCGACGCATTTCATTCCACCGCGAGGTTGCTGTAGGAATCGGGTTCCCAGACAGAAACCTCGTTCCTTTTAACCCTTTGACGACAATGGCACCCACCGGAGGGTGCCACTATGACTGGCACATGGGATATAGGCAAACAATTATAGGAGCCACCATACTTTCATGTTTCTTACGCCAGTGAAAGAGTTTTTCCTGAGACAGTGCCACTCACCGGTGGGTGCTAGTCGCGTGCGAAAGGGGAGCGTGAACCCATGGGCGTCTCACGTCGAAATCCGCATTGTTTCGAAGGATTAATAGGCTAGCTGGACCGAGATGCTCCAAGAAGAACCAAATGTAATCTAGTAACCCGCGCAAGTACGTAACACAATCGAAAATTCTAAAGATACGTAACACAATCGAAAATTCTAAAGAAAGTCGATGAAAGAGCACATAAAGCAAAGAGGGCAGTTCCCCAGCAGCAAAAGTTCAGGTGGAAATTATGGGAAGTGGTGGCGAGAGTCATGCCCATACCCTGTCCCAGGATCAAGTGAAAGCCAATGACCGAAATGGAAGAGGACCACAAATTAACTACCACAGATCTTTCCCTCCCACCGATCGCGTCCTTGCCTGGCAAAGTATTGCTTTGGTTCAATCGACTCCGGTCCTGGGCAGATATAGCCTGATCCCCGAAAAGTACGGTAGTTAAAGTATGCCAACAGGATGCCTACGTAGTGTTTCTAAATTTATATTCGTTTTTGCAATGCCCTGATTGTATCACGACTATAAATCTCAACTATTGGGACGAGTAGATGTGATTTGTGTAATACTGCGTCAGATTAAGCACATCTGGTCTCAATCTGTCCGGAAATTTACGGAAAAAACATATCGGAAATCCAACCAAGTGCAGATATATTCACGTACACATACACAAACTTCAATATTTATGAAATTTCCCTTAACCAGTAAACACTACTAAAATTACTGTATGTGTGACGATGTTGTAAGTGATGGTGGGAAATACCGATAACGTGGCGTGAACCAAAGCAAAATCATCGTCGAAGTGAAACAGATGTGATCGATGGCTAAACACGACGGCTCTTTTCTTTCATTTCTAACAATTATTATAGCTTCTCTAATTTTCATTTATATTGTACAACGATTGTAATTGATATAAACACTAAAAATTCGTAATATGCACTACTCTTATTATTAGGAGGATGAAGAACACCTCGACACACGGACAATTACAGACAGATAGACAGACAACAACCCGCCGTAATCGAGGAATTCATTTGGGTGTTGGGTGTATTCGAATATGGATAGAGCGATGATGGAATACAAAGCAACACACTACCATTGATATTACGTAAACCTACAGACGAAGAAAACCAACTCCACGACGATAGAGCACAGAGGTACCACGTCTTCAAATGCTTCCTACGGAAAAGAATGATCGTATCGCGATTACGGTCATCTCTCTGGGTTCCCGCATTGAAAAACAAAACGTTGTATACCGTAATCGTGCACGACGTTCTTCTCTACTGTACAGGTCCTAGCTATATCAACTATCTATTTGTCAGGGAGAGTAAAGAAATCTCGCCGGAATTCTACACAACGCACATAAAGCTGAGACAACAGCTGGAAGAAGATACTATAAAACAAAAATTTCTCAAAAAAAAATCAAAGTGGATAAAAAGAGGGTAAATCCTAGAAACTATGTATAGCAGAATGTGGCAAAGTGATGCAAGGCTAATTTAGGATGTGAACAGAAAATCAAATCCTCGCACCGCTGCCGTAGAGCAGCCAACAATAGCTAGTAGTACATCTAAGCACTTTTCTAGCTTCCGTATGTGGCACGCCTCATACACCAGTAGTTCCTACGTAGCAAAAAAAGAACGAAAAAACGGATTAATGAATGAATGAATGAATGGGATGAATGAATGAAGAATGAATGAATCAATGAGGAACACGGCAGATATGTAACTCCAACACGAAAAAAAAATAAGGGAAGAACAGTGACAGCTGAAAAAATCAACACATCATCGCGTATATCGAAAACAATACAGTATGACGAAGAAAGAACGCTTCGGAAGTGCAGCAGATATAATTCCTAGAATTACATATCATCTGAATTCTTCTATATATGGTGGCGATCACGTGGTATAAGCCGATCTACAGCCGCCCGCACGCACACCATCCGTGTCTCAAAAATTACGTTAAAAATCTGAAGGGAGAGAGGGGGAAAAGGCGGAAATATTACGTGAAGAATGCGCTGAGGGAAGAGGAAAGCAACTGGGATGACAAATCAAAATATGGAATCCTTTCATGTGGTGAAGATGATGATCAGAATCTAATGCACTTGCCTCCTAGATATAACTATGTACATTTACATATACGCGCCGAAAGCACGAAATAGTACACGATCACATGCTAACACAAGGAGCAAGCTTTAGTGAGTAAAAAACTGTGTGTAAAGGAGCATGGGAGAGGGGAGAGCAGGGAGCTTTTCGAGGAGGATTTAGACATAGAGCTGTGTTTGTGTATATAGGCTATTACACACTGTGAAGGTTTGAAATAGGACGTATGGCTACACATCAGCCAACCGGCCTCGGCTTTCTGGGTGTTGTCCTCTCTGCTCAAGCATTCAATCCGCCGACTGGCGTCGCCCAGATCTTCTCAAGGTCTTTGAGAAGCATGGATGAGTTGTCGTCGTCTTCGATTAACGATGACGTTGTAGCTGTCATCGTCGTCGGCTTGTCGAACGGTGGCATCGTCCAACCGCCACATCGCGATGCCCACGGATCGGCTGGGGTACGCGATACAGAGCCGAGAACCTGTAAGCATTCTCAATCAGTTAAGAAACAGAAAAGACGAGAACGTTGACCTACCTTGGAAGGATCAAGGCCAGAGAACGAAAGTTCTTGAATGAATTTATCAGCGTTGAATCCTGGCAGAATCTGATCGCTAAGCAAAAGTGATTCGGGTCGTGAAACAGTTGTCGCTGTGGCTGAGCTGGTGGTGTTACTAGTAGTAGCGGTGGTGGTGCTGGAAGCGGACGAGCTGGTGTTCGTGTTCAACGGTCGGAACGGGCTATCACAACCCATCGTCAATCCACTAAACGCCGTGTCAAGGCCGAACACATCCTAAAACGGCCAACTTATGCTACAAGCTATCACAACAATAGAAATAATAGACCATTAAAAATCGGAAAATCACTTACTTGAAGGCTTGTATCTTCGCTAACCGATGACGATGCGCTGCTGTCATCGAGGACACAATGATGACGAGGGATTTGTCCTCGAGCCAAAGTGGCACCATAACTGGGCCGAGTTGGTGTTCCGGCTTCGGTCGTAACTGGTGCGGTATTCAGACCATTTACCAGCGTTGGATGGACAGGCTTATTTGGTTGACGTCGTTTCCATCCATCTACTGAGGCCATCTCATAGAAGAATCCATCCGAATTTGCATCATAATATCTAAACCACCCAAGGCTAGTCACATTATAGCAATCAAACATTAATTATCGGGTGACAAAGTAAAAAGTCTTGCGAAGCAAACTCACTTGAGAGCCGGTTGTGAGAACAGTGCACTCTGCAACAATGCATGTGCTTGTGCAGCTGTCTGCAAATTCAACATCGGAAGTTTCCCACCATTAGCCAATTGTGTGATTTCCTGCAACAAATTCCCTTCAGTTAGACATTTCGTCAGAGTGCGCGAGAGATTTGAAGAAAGGAAGTTTGATAAACGTTTGCCTAACCCCCAACTTAAAACTGATAGTTATTTCGCTGCTTATAGCCTTAGCCGTCTCTTTCAATTTCCTTTTTTCGCCAGGAATAACCTTTAGCTGCACAGCGGATCTAATCTGCTGCAGGGAAGTGCGCTGTACACAAATCATGGCAGGGAAGAATAACATCAAGGGCACCAGAGATCTGCAGGCCAGTAAACGAAAAGTACATCAGAACCGCATAAAAAACATCTTCGTAAACATCGACAAAGCAACAACAGCTGGCCCAATTCCAATCAGGATAAGCATCAGCCACGCCAAAGTCGAAAACCCCATAACCCTCGCTGCAAGCCTACCCACGGGTTATCTTGGGGACATGAATACAGCACTCAGCGATTGCAGGAAGCATCTTTTCAGGTCTTCGAAGGGCGCTTACTTGAAGGATATCTCAGATGAGCTATCGTCACCTCAGTAGCTCAAGTGGTGTTCCAACTTTCGTGTTTCATGGTCAGGATCTCCCAATACCAGTTCCTACAAGATGGTGAAAAATGGTTTCGAATCTCCATGAAGCCAGAGACTTATGTCATCGTGTTACATGTACGCTGCATAAGCGCCAGCTTGGCTGCCCACTTGCTTGCATGCAAGAACCGGACCACATCGACACTTCTTCGTAAACGTTAAACGACGTCTGGTTGAAATGTGATGGACGACGACGCGCATTTCTACACACACACATTCTAGATAGAAAAACCAACTATGGAACCGTATTCGCTCATAAATTCGCATCTGCAGAAGTCGATAACGTCGACATTCCTTGCCTACAGCCGATAAAAATCTCTGAAGGGGTTGCTCTACTGGCATTTCACCACGTGATTCGCCGCTGATTAAACATGGGCATGAACTTTTTCAGGGACAACTTCTAACTGTTGCAAAAGACGCACTTCACCGCTAGTTCAAAATCGAAAGGCTACCTTTTGCCAGTTGTAGAACGTCCGCCAGGACACGAAGGGTGTGTTTCGAATACACTCTTCTCGGGAGAGCATCGGACCCAGATATCGATTCAAGTGTTTCATAAATTTACGTCTTTCTAAGAGACTTCTGACGACGTTCTTATTTGAGGACCGTCAGCTAGGGATACCCTATCGGGAGGGGGAGATACAGTGGAGGGTGTGAACAGAGAAAGGGTGGAAGGAGATCGCATTAAATCTATTTTGAAGAGTCGTATTAAATAATGACGTAAAAAGGGAACCTCATACCTTAACTGCTGTATCTTGCTCCCCAAAAAGTTCACCTTCGACCACCTCCCCACTCCTTTTCCAGGCAATTCTTGTTTATACTGGGTCATAGGTAAGGGAAGATCGAGTGGACAAGGGTATTTCGGGAAGAATGGACTTTCCAGACTTTTTCCCAGACACCATACTCAATCCTGGTTCCTGAGGGAATAAGCTCATAGATATCCTATGACATTTCCTAATTAGTCACGACGGCTTCGTCGTTCACCTTATTTATTTGCCCAGACAACACGAGACAACAAGCCGTTTATTGTCCCCGGGGCCAAGGTTGTTGTTGCTCGAGGAGCTCTTGCCTTTCGCGGCAAAACAACCCTCAACCACGTGAGTCGCTTACAATCGACACCGGCCACAAAGTTTCCCCTGCCTGCCACAACAGCGAGCGCTGTTTTCACAGGTGAACAGGAACAACCGACTGCCCGAAGGCGGTTATTGAGCGACATCAAGCCAACATCATTCTTTAGTAATCCGCAATTGTCTGCGATGCGATTACTTCCTGGCCTCTAAAGGGATAAACACTGATGAAAGCATTGACGGATCTTCGAATTAGCTCAAGCGTCACTAACTGCCATGGTGAATGTGAGACGAGCGTATGAAAACAGCAGTCATGTGGCCCAAAGCTTTCAGAAATCACTTTGGGATTTATTTGTAAGCGTAATCTATCACAATGAACTCTCTCAGCAAAAGTTCATTCCAGCGCATTTGATCATGCGACTAAGGACATAACTTTGGGAAAGCCAGAGGATATAGGGCCTAGAGTTCATTCCACGGACACCTCCCTCATTACCTGCCCTGGGACGTTCCGAGAAAAAGTTATCTCTACACTTTCTATTCATAACCACCTCCAAATAACCGAGTTATTAAATCAGTGATGTCCATAAATTTAAAATAACTACATAATATGCATCAAGATCGTTTAAATTGTCATATGCACGAATTCGAATGTATTTTATAAATACCGTACCTGTTCTTTGATGCGTTGCAATGCCGAATTTGGCATACGACGCCTCCAGCCTTTCGCTCCATTTTGTTCATAGTAATAGCCATCCGAGGCCACGTCGTAGTACCAATAATCCTCCCCACCGCTCAATACACGTTGACGCTCACCAGCAAAAAGGTCTTCTAATGCGGCAGCTGGAAATAATGACCTCCGGTCTTTGGCAAGGAGTATAATCGCATGTATATAAAAGTAATTATGATGAGTTAGTAACCAAAAAAATCTTTACCGTTCACATCCACGTCTGTCAGATCAAGTTGTGCAGCTCCTTCGTTCTTTTTCGCACGGCGCAGCGCTCGACGTCGTTTCTTGTCTTCGGATTTGCCACCGGCCTGCGGCGAGTTTTTGCCATCAGTCTTCATGGAACCGTTGACCGGCGCTGAAAATAAGTGCAGCTTGATTAGCGGATGATTACTGAGCGACAACTGGTCGCTCAGTGTCACTGCTATACATACGATCAATAAGGAAGAAGAACGCCAACACATCGGTGGCGGCAACGACGACAACGATCGCACGCTCGAGAGATGTCAATTTTACTGGTTTCGCCGCGCACTCGTCACCGTCACTGGATGACGATGCAGCGATGATTCGTTGGTGATGGTGGTGGGGATGGCTGAGCCAGTGCTGTTAGTGACAGCGACGTGAGGACGTCACGTACACATACCCCACACACCCACAGGAACCGTACACAATGGGATCAGCTGTGTGGGCACGTCTGTGCAACTATGAGAGTTCGGAGGCATTGTTGTGGGTGTGTGAAATCAACACAAAAACAAAACATCATTCTGTTATGTGGAGCGATCAGTTTCATACACTTGCGCACGTGTCACAAAACATTTTCAATTTTTCAGTTGAATCTCTCGTTTTTTTCGTGTCCCCTATAGAACGACATGACGAAAACAACGCTGACTTTTCCCCGACAGTCCGCCTATCCAAATCCCCCGATCGATTGCGCCGTCGATGGAAAGAAGTTGACAACAACAAGCAAAAATGCACCATAGCACTGATAAGAGAGAGTTCAGGATGATGTATTGTCACCCATATGTAGCTTTCGAACATAAATCAGAAGAGGAAAAGATCAATGAATAGGTAGGAATGCAGATGGAGGACAAAGGAGGGAATCATTACACTTACACCAAGGCTAATGAACGCTTCCCATTAGAAGCCTCCCTCCTCAACGTCACTCTGTAATCGGCAACACCTACACCCCATTTCCACTTTCTTCTGGGGTTCTTTCTAATGACATGGAGAGTGATTGGGTCAGTTGATGGACAGGTGTGATAACTGAAATGTGCACTTACACCTGCACGTAAACAACAAGAAACCTCGTCAGCCCAGATGGGGGAACAGATGAGCGAACGGGCAACGAAAATGGGAAAGGCAGACAATCAGGCAGCTTTTTAAGACATTGATTGCACCCCAACACAATCAACGATAAGTGAATATCAGCTGACACGCTGACACCATGACCGAAGGGCGATGATGATGGTGGAGGGGATGGTGTGCATTTGCGGGAATTCTCTCATCTCTCAACTGTTTCTTTCTTTTTTTCTCTCTCATACATGCACTCATCACTTTAATCACCTTTAATTATGCCAGCAACGCTTTCCACCCAATGGGCGATTTTAGAGCCCTAAAAAAGAGAGAGACGATCATTCCAAAGTGGAACAATCGTTCGATTCTCACACGTCACACCATTACAAATGCGCTTTGCTCAATTCTTTAGGAAATGTGAGAAGATTACGAGTAAAAAGGCACATGACCATTGAAAGTAATACTTGATAGTCATGTCTAACGAACGATGGCAAAGTGAGAGCACAAAACAGGAGGCATCGACCAGCAAACAGAAGCGCTTCACTTGCCAACGATGCTGTTTATACAGCTTCGATCACATAACCCCGTTTATATTCAACGCTATTGAAACAAACGCCAAACATGCTTCTATTGCCAGGCTAAATTTACATTTCAATGAAGTATCGATTGAAACTTCTTTAGTAACTAGTACAAGAAAATTGAAATGTGGAAGTGTGAGAATCAGCTCAAAGTACGTCAAAAGAATACGCCCACAACAACAACATTGACGGCAAAGGAAAAGGAAGCAACTGAATCGATACCAATCACATCCAAGTGTAGTCTATTCGTGAAACAAACGGAACACAGACATTCAGTGGACGTCAGTGGATAGCTTTGATGTAGGCCAGCGCCTTTTCCCATCCCCCTCGTCAGGCCACACCCCAGACAGACAGACGGCTCCACCTAGTCCGCACCCTTGGCGAAATGGCTGCTGTACTTCTTCTGAACTAGGGGATAGCCCGCCCAATACGAACTCATTAGGTGGATGTAAGGCTGGAAGCAACAAGAGGGCAACGAGGAATGCGAAACAAAGAGAAGAAGCTCCTCCCAATCGCTCGACACCGCCACCATCTCTCCACTATACCCGCCCTTCCCATCATGTTCACCGTTCGTCGAACCACCACCGAACATGGACATGACAGAATCGATAATTAAACTATTCAATGAACACCAGCAGAAAACAAAAATGATTCGGCTAAAATCACTGACCTCCCTTCTTTTCCAATAAATCATCAGCCAAAAACCATGCCAAGGTCTTTGAACGAGCTGATGGTGGATGAACTGCATGAGACATGGTGACCTTTCCGTTCAGAGGTCCGCCATAGAATCTGAAAAAAGGTACTCAAAAATCAGATATGCCGAAGTGTCTGACCGTTTCTTAGACGATTAATACGGACAAAGAATCCATCAGATTGTTATCTAGTCAACATCTGCACTTGCTGGCTCGCAAATTTAGCGCGAGGAAAACTCATAAAAAGAGCGCTACGTGGGTGGGTTGCCCCGCATTATCGCTATGACTCATTGCCAATCAAAATCACGCAACCCATAGAGGGTTTTTTTGGTGTTTATAGCCATACCCAATATTGAATTAATTAATCATTTCTGTTACACAATCAAAGGCGCTCGAAAGTCGACTGAAGGGTCTTGACGGGTGATTGAGCGTCAAGCGAATGAGCTCCTTCTGAGCTAGCTTGACGATTCGAGGAATATTGTAAAAGCATAGGCTGACTAAGGCTGTGATGACGATGGCGAGACAGCGTTTGCCATCAACATCGGCACCATCACGTTGAATAACAAAAAAATAAGTGAATATGTAGCCGTCAAAATGTTTTGAGACAGTTTTTTCACCCGACCAGGTAATCTGAAGAGAAACGGGGAACTTGCAATTAGCTAGCAGGCTTGTTAGATGTTGAGCATTGATATGGATTGAAGGTTTTTACTTAATCTTACTGCATTACTTAGCTTTACCACAACAACATCACTTATACAGAGGCACACCCACACATCTACGTGATTGTCGTCGTTATCCCTAGCCCATCATTACTGGAGTAAAAAGCTCTTCTGTGAGTGCGATGGGGACTTTGTATGGGAATCATATCGTGGTAATACTCATGGTTAACGTGAAATGCCCTAGAAATGTCCTTTGGAGCGACAGTACTTTCTGTTTACGCAAGATGCGCTACTGGTAATTAAGCCCTTGAACGTCATTTATTCACAAAGTTCATTACACTGAAACCTATCGCCAAAAGCATATTTGGAACCGCAGGAATAGAACCATGGGAGTAGGCCTTGAAATAGTTTTTTGGAACTTATCCCACTATATGTTCAGTGAACTCGTCCACCTGTGATGGCCATATGGTCCACAGCCATATGGCCGAACAGATCGTCAAATATTGAATTCAAGAAAAATGTAAATTGAGATTGAGAACCGAACAGAAAGGACACGTCGGCAAAGTTCATAGTTCATTGGTCATATTCACCACCCCATCGAAATGTGGCGGAACCAAAACGGCTTTTAAAAAAAGCGATTACGTAATAGACACTTTACTGTTAACAACCGTACAGAAGAAGAAAAAACTTTTCAGCAATAAATGAGAGAAAATTTGTTCTTTCACCATTATGCAAGGTTTTTCAAAGTACGGTAGCGCGGTAAATCTACATGTTAATATAGGTATTCGCGCTGTTGCGACGGAAAATTACACAACTTTAAAGTTCACTAAAGAGCAGGTGTAAACGCTATTCCAGCGAGTTTGCAGGAATTGACCTTTGCAATTGCAGAGGGGGAGAACGTGCAATTCACATTCTCTTCTCCTAATTTCTGATAACAAGGAATATGAAGAAAAAAAACGAGATGATTTCGAAAATGGTAACTTTTTAAAGCACCGATGGTAATGCTTACCTTGGTTGTTGAGATTTCATCACACGGTCGGTTTCGAAACCAGTGCTGCTGACAACGTCCGCTGCCGGTAACGCTGACGGTACCGCTGCCGCCTCTTCGGCACTCACACTCCGATGCTTTTCACGAGCCGTTTTGTTCGCGTTCGTTGGAGTCAAAGCTCCACGGGGATTACTACGAAGAGAATTCGGTGAGTTAGCGGGTTTGAGAAGACCTGAAATGTTTGAAGAATAAGGCTGACGATCGCTTGGAAGGGGAACAACATGCAACAAACATCGACATCAACGATGATGATGATACGAGTCAATTCTTATACATCATGAAAATTGTTGGCAATCAAAGTACAAGAAAAACGCAAAATTAGCCCTGATCACGGATTTCCTCGGCTTGAAAAAACGAACAATATGGCTTGCCAGGCTCGACGTTTTGATGTCAACCTTGCACTGCCGCCGAAAAAGTAACAAAAACTGCCAGTATGAGGTGGGAAAAACCTGAAACTTCCTGGATGTCTGCAATGGGCAGCGTAATGACGAAAAATGGCTTAGTACTACTCTTTAACAAGTTTCTCCAGTATCACAACTCCATCGACATAAACAACAACGTTGTGCAGTGTCAAGAGTGGAACCATGCGGAGGACGTCCAGGTGGGAGAGAGAGTGGGAACCGGTGCTGCTTTATAAGACGCAAAGGCGCGAAACTTTCACCCCACACCAACAACGACCGACGAGGAAGACGATGGCAATGAGCGCGAGGTAATGTATAATGCCAAACGAGTTCCTCCATGAACCCCCNCCCCCATGCACCCCACCACTTATACTCCCGTCACTCATTGTAGCACATCAAAGACTTTTCGGTATGACCTTTCAGTGGGGGCAGGTAGTGCAGGGGCGTCATTCATAGGTGTGATAAGCCTATTAGCGAGGGAACGCTGTACCGCGGGTATTATTCAACTCATCAACAGGTGTCACCTGACCACAACGATTTAGTGTCCAGCAGTCCAGTAGCCGCTGATGAGCATACAGGAGGCAGTCTGAGAAAGTAAATATTAACGAGGAACCTGGTAACCGGCGGCGCGAGGACCAAAAAAACCTCTGCTACCACAGAGAATCGTGACTATAGCCGACGCGGGTACGAGCGAATGAATGAGTAATCGTCAGGCATTTTCGAAATGGCTACGTGTCGTGTACGTTGCGAAATACACTTGTAGAAGGGCGTACCAGCAGCGTTTGGCGTTGACCGGGTAATCGCCTCGAATTTTTATGGTCTCCCATTTGGCCCAGGTATGATGATCGGTCTAGATTTCACCTGCCACGGTCGGCCTGTCACCATCACATAAACGTGACCATCAACAAAAAGTACGAGCACATGCTTTAGTGCGGCTCTACGCAACAACACGAACGTGGTGAACGTCAAAACAAAATCCAATTCGACCACATAGACCAATGTTCAAGCGTGTGGACCACAAAACAAACCCACACCGAACTTGAGATCTCAAAAGTTTAACGAAAACATCAACAGTAAACCGAACGTCAGGGAAGTTAAGGGCTCCTTGGGAATTGCTTTAAGAGCCTTTCTCACCCGAGGGGGTTTCAGTTGGATGGTCTACCTCGAGAAGACAATGGAACAATCAGAAGAATTGTTTTGGGCAAATGAACATGTGGGAACGACTTTTGGAAATCTGGGATGCCCAATCTAGAAAATGGCTGTCCTCTGGATGAGAAAGGAACGTTAGTTGAACTGCGGAAGAGCAAAAGAAGAACAGCAATGAAAAAGCTCAAAAAACGTTCAAACTCAAAGCAATCAGGAAATAAATGTGACCTTGGAGAAACATAATCATTAGAGCTCAATCTCCGCTTATTCGAAAACACAGGGGAACGTTCGAAAACGGCAATTTCCTAACCGTTGATAAGAGCTGACTCGATACCGATACACAGAGTGAAATCAAGCCACTGAACCCGCCGATTTCCCCATCAGGTATCAGGCGGTACCGCCAAATGGGTGTGGCTTCGTGATGATCCGTCGCCACCCCACTGTGAGCACGTACGGGCACGACCAAACCGATAAGCCCTTAAAACGTAAAACGGGTACTTCAACTGTAGATAAAGTGTAAAACAGCGGCGATGAGTGGGGACAATGTCAGAAAACGAGGGGCCGGTGCCACCTGGTGGGCCACTAATGGCGGACGGCTCAGCACTAAGAAGTGATTAATCATAGATTACTGATTTTGCGCGCACGCGCGATCGTCAACCGCTCGACAGCTGATCTCACCATCGACCCTGGGGTTAAGCGGAGGCGATGCACCCAGCAACAAGCAGGCGATGTAGTTTTGCACAGGAAACAGAGTACCAGTTGGATGCGAAGTTGCAAAGTCGAAAAGTACAGGTTCAAGATTGAATTTCATCTTGAACGACCACTTGAAAGAGCAAACTATCATCTCAACGGGTACCTGGGGAAAAATTGCGCAATCACGCGCAACGTGGCGGCATAACTGGGCAGTTTTGGAGTCCCGAAAGCCTTGTCAGCAGAGGGAGTGAATAACTCGCCTATCCAAATGAGAGTCTAAAAGTACAAATGAAGACTGACGAAGGGATGTCGAGCTTGTCTACTATGAATTTCCATGGTCTTGGGGACAACATGAGTACGTTCATTGCCGTCGGCTAGACGGCTTTTATAGTCTTCTCGGCTACGCCCATTTCCCAGTAGGTCCAAAAGGGCAGACGTTCTGCTTTCTGGAACATTGCGCTCAGCTGACCGCGTTCTCCTCGTCGTCGTCGTTCGCCGCCGCCGCCCACTGCCCTTTGAGCACTTGGCACGCGGCGAGTTCTTCGGAGTCGGCATAACAACAACAACAGCAAAGAACAGGACGGAGGATGTCCGATCAAAAATCGTCTACGTGCTTAACCTCAATCCCATCCTTGGCTCAGCCTAAGAATAACGTAGCTTCGGGGATAGAATCCTGGATCGTCATATGGCTACTTATTAAAAATTTCTTGAAATATTGTCAGTCTAAAGGGCGTTGACGTCCCGCTCCCAGCCAGCATTTCCTGTTCCTTCAGATATCATCTTCACGGGACAAAGTCGTTTCATCCATCGAGTTGTTCACGTGTTCTTTTCCACCCTTACACTTGTGAATGGCACTTTTTATTGGTGGCAAACATGAGAACATCAAAATCCATTCACTCACTCTCGTGCTAAATGGTTTTTCAGGGCCCATAGGGCAGAGATCCAGCTGACTCGTTGTCTGCAGCATAAGTGCAACTGAACTTCGCCAGTTTCTCATCAGCATAAATTGTCTTTCGCCTATCGTCGGGCTTTTTCAAATCACCCTCATAAAATCCAACGGATCAATGGAACAGACAGATGCAGCCGAGGGGGGTATTTGCAGAAAGAGGTTTATAAGCTCATTCCAGCACAGTGCTACCTACGTAAAAGGAAATTATAAAATTAGTAGCTATTATCCGCGACTAGTTACTTCATGGCAACGCTTGTCGTGTCGGTAAACCTCCAGAGACCAAACGATTTTAATCAGGTATTCCTCTTCCTTGAGCGCAGCAACAAACAAGACCGTAAACAAACCTCCTTTGAAGACGATGTTGTGCAAGCCTGTAAGTCATGCTTTACCTAAACAACGGACGGCGGACGCTCCTACTAAGCAAAACAACAGCTCGTCTTACTTCCATTAATAAAGGAGTGTATTGTATTTCAAAACATCCTCTCATGTGGACACTTTTAGCGCCACATGTCAACAACAACAACAACGCCCGTAGATGGAGACTGCATCTAACAACAGTTCGTGAGATTCGGCTGCATTTTTAGGAAGAGAGCACGATCGTCAATTCATAAGACAACAGAAATCATGAGAATGGCTACAAAAGGTCCGAAAATTCTGGAAAAACAAAATGCTGGTGGAACGGAACCTCCAAGTTTCTGTGGGGTGAAAAGATCACTACTCAGGCAGACGCCATGCAATTTTAATGATATGAAAAACTGAAGCGAGAGACGACGTGCATGAGAGGACGGAAATTTCATATTACTCTTGAGTAATAGGGAAAAACTTGCTGAGTAAACAGAATAAATGCATTGGATAGAAGAGAAATGTGAGACTATCTCGGCAACAGGCTACCTCCAGCAAGTTTGGACAATAGTGGGACTTACATTTCCACAGAACTGCCTTATATGGAAGCTAGGAAACTTGCTCTAGCGTCGAATCGAAGGTGCAAAAATGAATTTTTATAAAAACGGCGCGGTGGACCGAGGCAGCTTACTGTTTACATGACTTATTGAATCGAACTAGGACTGATCTAATAAGCTTTTTAACTATTTAAAGGCACAATTCTCATGATTCGGAGGTAGCCCTCCCAAGATGAAAAGCTGAGTAAACCGTCGGCACGATTTCTGAGCCCTTATGACCCCTGTCTAGGCCGTTTTCCGATTTGACAGCGCAACATATGGTATCCTACGCGGCGAGGAAAAGGTGGGGGCAGGGGGTGGGGTTACATATTTACCCTGAAGGATAATTCAGAAACAATTTATAACGTGAACTTCGCCTTCAAGGCTAGATATTTGATCAGGAACTTGATTCAAGTTCGAAATAATGACCTCGACTCAAGTTTTCGTGGCAGCACCATGCAAACACCATCACAACTCAGCAAGGAAATGAGATGTGTGGCGCAGACAAGAATTGAGCAACTAACTTCATATTCAAGGTCGATGATCAGAAATCTACAAAAAAAA